CAATCATTTCAAGACGTTCGTTAGATTGATCTTTCATAGCTGTTTCGCTCTTTGTAGCTTGGTCAGTTCCACATTTTATTGGTCCAAATTAGCTAGTCAGTGACAAATGTTAATAGTTGCTATTACATTTAGAATATAAGAGTAAAAGTATCGCATTTATTTAGTGTTCAACATATACTATAGTGCACGAAAATTATGTTCGAAAATAACACATAATCATAAAAACGCGACTATATCTTTAGTATTGGTTAATTTTGTAATAGCTTTGAAATCAAAATCTTGATGTACAAGCTAGTAGATGCAGCTAGTGACATTGTTATAGGCGTAATTTGGAAGTACTAAATAATAAAGTATATATATTTGAGGTTAAAATTCCAAAAGGAAATCACCATCAAACAAAGCTTTCCATCACGTGTCTTCAAATTTAATCCTCAGACAAACGTAAAGCTTTCGTTGCAGTAGGAAGGGATTATCTTGATTATTAAAGCGTATATTGTACCTAATCAATTTCTTGTTTCCACATAAGGCTTGTGTAATGTATTAACTAAGACTTAATCCGGAAGCTGTGAAGCTGTCATGTACTTCTTGAGGGTAAGAAAAAAACATTTCAATTTAAAAACTATGTAATTCTTTTTTTTTTCATTTTAATATTCATAAAAAATCATGTTTACCTTATGATAGGTAAATTGAGCCTGAACCTAACGCAAGCCTTATTATATCCTGAGAGGTAAATTGAGCCCGAACCTAACGCAAACCTTATTATCTCCTGTGAGGTTAATTGAAACTGAACCTAACATAAAACTGATTATATCTCGAAATGTAAATTGAACCTGGACCTAACAAAAACCTGATTTTATCTTGAGAGGTAAGTTGATCTTGAACCTAATGTAAACCTGATTATATCCTATGAAGTAAATTGAGCCTGAACGTAAAGCAAACCTGGTTATATCATGAAAAGTACGTTGGAAACGAGAACATGCATGTAAAGTAACACATCTAAAGTTAATTGTGTAATTTAATTTTTACGCTCACGTCTTGAACTAGAAGAACGAGAGTCTATCAAAAAACATAAAACGATATTCTAACATTTGAAAAATTTGAAATTAATTTCTAGTGAGGCTCATTAAGACGAGTACTATAGCCAATTATTTGATTTTTATTGAACTTTTTTTCAAGCTAAGTTTTAATGATTATACATTCGGTGATTATCCTTAGAAACGTGTACGCTCAGAAAATCTAATAATCAACTCATTTTCATGATTGCAATTACAGAAATAAATTTTGAAATAAACTTCGAAGCCGAAGAATTCACCGAAGAGGATCGAGAAATTGGCGGCAAACTCATAATTAGTGGACTTTACGACCTGGTGTATGCTGACTCTGAAGGATTCGAAATTGAGCCAGGATTCTCATATCAAATCGCAATGAAACAGGTACAACGAAAGTCTGAGCAAAGAGCTTTTTTTTTCTAATAATCTAAATTAAGTACATAAAAAACTGTACTTTTAACAGTGGGGTGCTATGTGTAATATGTCTTGAATGTTAACGCATTAACTAAGGCACGTTACATTTTTTTAGAAACACCTTATTATGTATGGAACTGTTAAACGGTAGATGTAATTATAATAAAAAACAATTCAAATGAAGAAGCGTAGTTATTTTAAACGAAATTCTAGTTTTAAATATGTTTATGTTGTTTCAGGGTTATTGCATATAAGCGCTTTACATAAGCATATTTGTTATGTTATTCAGCAAACGAAAATATCTCTACCTCAGCCGTATAAAACAAACTGTTCAGACTACCCAGTTCTCTGGAAAGCCAATAATGGTACTGGATCTCTAACGTGGAAGGTATGAACTAAAACAACAGACATCTAACACATAGTTTCTAAATTCCTCAATTCATCTGTTAGATCAGATGAACCTGTTAATATGTCTGAAAACAGTAGTGCTTGTGTACTTTAAAACGTTATTTAGACCTTTAGATAGAAAAAAAAGAAGAAAAAAAGGGAATTATTTTAGGCAGAATTAGAGTAAATTAATCTATGAGACTTTTTTTTCCTTTTTTATTTAGCTATATGTTTGTGCGCCAGCAATACAAAGCGTGGGGCGCACGTATTACCCGATTCGATTTTATTACTCATCAGGATCTCGACCAGTCTACCCTCAAATTGAAATTCTATTAGGCAGGATTAGAATAAATTAATATACGAGACCTTGGGCGTGATCCAATACATCAATCTAAAGGGTTTGACCTCCTGAGTCGAAAACTGTAATTAGATCTCAAATCTATCAATAGATCATGGAGCTATGGGCTAAAAGTTTGTACTTGAAAAACAAGAGGGAATCCTCTATAGCCGCAGTATTTGAAATTGTTTTAGGCAAGGTAAGAGTAAATTAATCTATGAGACCTTTTTTTTTTCTTGGCAATATGTTTGTGCGCCAGAAATACCAAGCGTGGGGCGCGCGTATACCCCATTCGATTTTATTACTCATCAGAATCTCTACCAGCCTACCCACAAATTGAAATTCTTTTAGGCAGGATAAGAGTATATTAATCTATGAGACCTTGGGCGAGGTCAAATGCATAAATCGAAAGGGTGGGCAGAGCACAGATAGCCCATTGTGTAATTTTGTGCATAACTACAAACAAACAGAAATTGTCTATCTGTGTACCTAAGGGCCCGGCATGGCCAGCTAGTTAAGGTGCTCGACTCGGAAACTGAAGGTCGCGGGTTAGAATCCACGTCCCACCAAACATGCTCACCCTTTTAGCCGTGGGAGCGTTAAAATGTGACGTTCAATCACACTATTCCTTGGTAAAAGAGTAGCCCAAGAATTGGCGGTGAGTGGTGATGACTAGCTGCTTTCCCTTTAGTCTTTCACTGCTAAATTAGGGACGGATAGCTCAGAGCTTTGCTCGAAACTCAAAACAAACTGTCTATGTCAGAGCCTTTGTCGCGTCTTGTAGTCATGATTTTACTTTTGGAAAGAGGAGTGTATAAAGAAAATTAGGTACAAAGAGGGAAAGAGAAATATTAGTGAAAACAGAAACAATATAACTTTTATAATAAAGTTTCTTTTCTGGAACTTCCATCAATTCAGATGTGCGTCATTGAATGTGTAAAGTCCACAACCAGAGGGCGTTGTGGCTGTGTACCATTATGGATTCCTCTAGTAGAAGAAGACGACTTTTGCAATCCTTATGACCCTGAAGAAGGTACATGGCTTCTTTCTTTCTGGATTTAAGTTGTTTTTTTCATTTTTCTATGTTTTATACACAAGGTATTTAAATTATGAAAATAGAAATATCTGATCAGTTTGAGAACGACACCTATGTAAACATCTAAAAGAATTGCGTGCAATTCTATGTTTTAAAGAGCAGTAAAACAAATATCCTGATGTTTTTTCATGCATCTTTTTAATACTGCCCATAACTACTCGGCGGAAAATCCAAAAGCTTATAACGCTAAAATACCAGGTTTTGATACCCCTGGTGGACACAGCACAGGTAGCCCATTGTGTAACTTTGTGCTTAAAAACAAACAAAGAAACAAACTTTCCTTTAAGCTTTATAGTAAGAGATCGTGTTGTTTAAGGGTTCCAACAATATTACAGTTTTAAAAGAAGGATCGCCTCTTTCTTGTCTCAAGAGGCCTGTCCCCGTCATCAGACATGCCCATCCTTTCAGCCGTGGGGTCGTTATAATGTGTTGGTCAACTCCACTATTCGTTGGTAAAAGAGTAGCTCAAGAGTTGGCGGTGGGTGTTAATAATTAGCTGCCTTCCCTCTAGTCTTTTACTGCTAAATTAAGGACGGCTAGCACAGATAGCCCTTGTGTAGCTTTGCGCAAAATTCAAAAACAAACAAATAAGAGGAAGTCGGTTGCAAAATGCATCGGACAAAATGCTTCTTCCTTATGGTTGAAAACAGTGTAAGAGGGCTTCCCACACCCCATTTATGTCATTATTCCCTGAGTCAAGCACGCTTGGGACCTTCCCAAGGAATATGATGAACACTGACTACCAGACTCAGGCTGAGTACTTCGAGTTTGAAGTTTAGATTAAGCAGGTGTGTGATCAATTTCTTCCATTTGAATAAGCGTTTTGGATTTAAATAATTGTTTAATTAACAGAGAGGATTAAGAAGAATACATTAATCAGTCTTTGATGGAATCATATTGCCTGGCTGATAATATATATATGTGTGTGTGTGTATTATAAAATGTGTTAAAATCTCACAGAACATTTTCAAGTTATATTAAAGACCTTGTAAAAATATTGACCTTATTTTAAAGTTTACATAAAAAACTGGTATATTCTGCTGAGAAGTGATGGTGGGTGTGTTCATCAAAAATCGTGGAACAAAATAAAAATGATATGAAAGACTTTCAGCTTAATCATATATCTAGATCTTTAGTTGTGGAGAAATGCATAATATCAAACAGCTGCAAAAGTCTTTCTCGCACTAACTTATATAATATTTGGATATCTGGGAATATAAGCATTTAAAATGTAATTTAAATTATATACTTAACGAGCTAAATTACACAAATATCTAAAGTTCTTCATAAGACTTATGGTTCAGAATATTTAACCTTTGTTTTTACAAATCTTGTTCAGGAGTAGCAGAACAGGCTTCCAATTTGTGGAATGTGAGAAATTGAAGCTCTCCGTTCTTGTAAGACAAGTTAAATCATGTTATGTTATACGTGTATTTCATGAGTACTGTTGTACATGGAAAATGGATGCTTATTCAGGCTGATTGTATTACCATAATTAGCAAGAGCCGTCTTCGGATTAAAAGTTGGCAGTAATGACTTTCCACTCTTTTCTACTTTCAATCTTAATCTTCTCATAACCAGCTAAGGGAGCCCAATCCTCGAATCTTGATCTTCTCATAACCAGCTAAGGAAGCCCAATCATTGAATCTTGATCTTCTCATAACTAGCTAAGGGAGCCCATTCCTTGAATCTAGATCTTCTCATAACCAGCTAAGGAAACCCAATCCTTGAATATTGATCTTCTTATAACTAGCTAAGGGAGCCCAATCCTTGAATCATGATCTTATCATAACCAGCTAAGGGAACTCAATCCTCGAATCTTGATCTTCTCATAACCAGCTAAGGGAGCCCAATCCTTGAACCTTGATCTTCTCATAACCAACTAAGGGAGCCCAATCATTGAATCTTGAACTTCTCATAACCGGCTAAGTGAGCCCAATCCTTGAATCTATATCTTCTCATAACTAGCTAAGGTAGCCCAATCCTTGAATCTTGATCTTCTCATAACTAGCTAAGGTAGCCCAATCCTTGAATCTTGATCTTCTCATAGCCGGCTAAGGGAGCCCAATCCTTGAATCTTGATCGTCT